CGTAACACACATAAAAAAAAATAAAAAAAAAAAAAATATACCGTCGAATTGAATACCTCCTTCTTTTGGGAAGTCGGTCAAAAAGCAGCGTCGAAAGCAACACGGTGCAGAGTGTAGAAGTGCGTTCCACTGGAGATCCCTTAACCCTCAAATCGCACCCTAAGGGCTACCACCGAGGCGTTTTAGTGAGAAATCTCACATAACCCTATCTAGACAGGGTTATGAAGTCGCGGAAGATTGCTCAAGCGTTCCCGTGACCAAGCCACTGGCGGAAAGAAGGAACACTGGGTTTTTATTGGGTATTCCGGCCATTTTACATCTTGGCCAGCGAGTCCTACATACCCCCCTTGGTAACGGGGGGGATGCGTAAATCCATTTTTCCAGCGGAAAAAAGGGTATCTTTCGAAGATTTCCCCCCGTTATCAAAAAAGTTATGAGTGTACACCGGTAGAGGTAGACGTAGAAAGAGATGGATTGTGTGAAAGGTGACATGATGAAGGGAGTGATGACTGAGATGACGTATTATGGAGGACAAAAACCTGTTGCGCCAACGGGAGTAAGAAGAAAAATGATAATAGTACTTTTAGGCAACTTATTTAATTGATACTGTCGCTTTTAAACTCATAGCAACACTTCCCGTCAGGACTCAGGATGCGCCAATATCCACTTCTAGTGACATTGACAGCTGTCAGCTAGGGATGTGACGTTTATGACGATAATTTAGAGTTGTGCCAATTCTACAGTACGGTACTAATTTTGTTCCTTACAGTACATGGGTAGAGGCATTAGATATTCTCCTCTTATGAGATAGCGTGCGATTTTAACACCATCTTTGAATGCCTTTAAATTTTTATTCGTGTGACATTTAGATACAGCATAGAATTCATAAGATTCATAAGAGCGTCGGTGGCTCAGTGGTTTAAACACTTGATTTGTAATCTACAGGTCTTGGGTTCGAATCCCGCCGCCATGTACTTCTATTTTCGATTTTTCGAATTTTTATATGTACATAATTTACCCGACGTTCTTACGGTGAAGGAAAACATCGTGATGCAACCTGCACAACATATCGGCGAAGAAATTCAAAGATATGTGTGAAGTCAACTAACCCGCACTTGGCCAGCTTGGTTTGACTATGGCCTAGTCACCCTAACTTTAGGGTAGGTTCCGAGCCCCTCGGTGGGGACGTAGAGTGAGCTGGTGATGATAGAATTCATACCTCCCAGGCCACATACACAGTCTTCTAGACACTGTGTGACAAAAAGATAAAAACATTCGTCAACAACAATCGTCTGATAATCTAACGCGTAAAATATGTGGAAATATCGGATTTTCTTCCCTTATCTGACAGTGACGTCATTCTGCTATCTGAGCCTCTATCAGCCAGTGGAGGACCTTAGAGTTTTTCATTGTCCTTACGTTGTACTAAGGATGTACTAATCTTACTTCTTACTGTGAAAGTTTAGTTAGATGTTTGTTAGAGTTTGTAGCCTAAACTGCTGAACGGGTTTCGATGAAATTTGGTATAGATGTAGAGGATAGTCTGGAACACATAGGCTATTCACTTTTGTTTGTTTTTTAATTCCACGCGGACGTAGTCGCGGGCGAAAGCTAGTATACTACAGGATGTGATATAATAGTATTTATTAGTAGGTAAAGAGTTTTAAAAATATAATTAGGATAAAAATTTATTAGGGTTATTGAGAAAAAAATGAATTTAATGTAATATGTACAATGTACTTTGTACAACGAGAGTTTGTTGTGATATCGGATATAGTAACGGAATTCGACTAAAACGTTATATGACGTGAAAATAATGAAATACTAATATTATAAAGAGAATAAATTTGTATTTTTGTATGTATTGAAATAATTCACTATTGGGTCGATTTTAAATATTATTTCAATGTTTAAAAGCTACGTTATGGCTGCGTAACGTAGTGGTAGAGGCCGCTTTAACATGTCGGCAGTGCAGGCTCTCAGCAATACCACAACCACAGACAGGCCGCAAGTGGAAGCTATTCCACGTACTGATCAGTGTGGTGCCCGAGGACTCATTTTAGTCCCTTTCCCTTTCCCTTTACACCCTTTTAAGAGGAAAGAATGGGAAGGAAAAGTTATTTTGACTGGGGAGGAGACGCATAGGAAGGGGAAATGTCCTCTTTATGTGCGTCGCCTCCGTCAATGAAGGGTAGGCAGCGCTGCAATTGCGGATGTTTATGTGCAGCGGTCGCTTTTCATTTCGGTGCATTCAGGCCGCTTGCTCGTTTAACACTTTATATTATAAAAAAACTAGGCTATTTAGCTGGTTTTTGTTATTTTTTAAAAATTCCACGCAGTCGAAGTCACGACACCTAGTCTTATATAAAAATTTACATTTTCGAAACGTGGGGTCCACACATAGATAGGGAACATTAAAAATTTAATTCGATACTTCATATACGTCATTTTTTTTAATAATATAATGTGACAAACGTGCAAGTGGCCTGTATCCACTGAAATGTAAAGCGACCGCTGCACGTAGACATCCGCAATTGCAGCGTTGCCTACCCTTCATTGACGGAGGAGACGCACATAAAGAGGACATTTCCCCTTCCTATGCGTCTCCTTCCCAGTCAAAATAACTTTTCCTTCCCATTCATTCCTCTTAAAAGGGTGGAAAGGGAAAGGAAGTAAAATGAGGCCTCTGGCACCACACTCATCAGTACCTGTAATAGATTCCACTTGACGACTGTCTGTGGTCGTGGTATTGCTGAGAGCCTGCACTGCCGACATGTTAGAGCGGCCTCTACCACTGTATTTAAATGCTTAATTCTATTTCAGTATTCATTGTAATTGGTTTGTACAGTAGAACCTCGATAAGTTAAAGTCCAAGGGAAACACAAAATACTTTAAGCTATAAAGGTTTTAAGTTATCAAGGGTCTATGTTATAGAGGCTTTGGGTTTTTAAGTTACCGAGGTTTGAGTTATCGAAGTTCTACTGTAATTATGTGGTTTAAGAATATTTATTTACCTTAATAAATTATAATAATTTATGTCATTGTAATTAGTTTGTATTTTTGTTTGTTTTCTTTTAGCTGCTGATATAATTCGTATGGAGCATAACTACAGCGTAGACCCCCCTAAAAAGGAACCACAAGAAAGTATAACAAGACTAAACGTAAGACAGCTTGTTGACACACTTGGATATCTGTAAGTACTTACTTACTTACTTATCTATACTATTATAATAAAGCGTAAACACACTTCTTTGTTGCCTAAGATGTCAGCAATTACAGTATATTTTTGAATAATTCTTTCTTTAATAAAAAGCCCTACGTTTACGTCACGCTTTAGGCTATATATTTTCACGCCATTAAACTTAAGGGTAAATATTTTGGATAAAAACTTCTAACGTGGGAAAGAGGCCATGAGTTGCTGAAAAGTTGAATATACGAACTATATAAATAACAAAAAGCTACGTATCCCGGGAACCGGACATTTCTCGGGATGAACCTCCCATGTGTACTCCAGACTTTGTTTTATATCTGTGACAAATTTCAATAAGATATGTTGAACCGTTGCAGAATGATCGAGTAAACATTAAAAAACTAAATTAATGAATCCCACGGGAACCGCAACTATTCCCGGGATAAAATATAGCCTATGTGTTCTTCCGGACTATGCTCTAAACCTGTGCTAATTTTCATGGAGATCCGTTCAGTCGTTTAGGCTACAAACATCCATCTATCGTACCTTTCCAATTTATAATATTTATATATATAATTTATTTCCAGGTCCTTAAAGAATCTTCAAAGGAAACAATTATGGGTTGTAAAAGTGGATTCTGACAAAACTGAAGCGTCCATCACACAGTCCGAGCAAGTTATTACAAAGATGACTGACACCAAACAGGTTATCGAGGTAAATCCTTTTAAATTATGTTTTACTAGCTTCCACACTCGACTCTGTCCATGGAAATAATTAAAACAAAAGTACCCTATGTGTTCTTCCAGACTATCCTCTAAATATTAAATTTTATTTAAATCTGTTCAGCGGTTTAGGCTACAAACTAACAAACATCCGTCTTTCCCATTTATATTAGTATGATTTGTATTTTTGTATGTATTGAAATAACTCAAAAACTACTGGGCTAATTTTAAAAATTCTTTCACCGTTAAAAAGGTAATTTATCTGTGAGTAACATAGGCTATATTTTATAAAAAAAACTAGCTGTTCCCGTGCGGCTTCATTCGCATATTATGAAAATTTTATTTTATTGTTTACATTTGTCAAATTATCAATTGAAAATGTCAAAATGACATGACAGGACATACCTTAGCAATCTTGCTTCCTTGATGTTGGCAGCAACTTATAGTCTCTTTCCCACATTAGGGTTTTTATACAAAATATTTACCCCCTAAGTTTAATGCCGTGAAAATATATAGCCTAAAGCGTGACGTAAGAGAATTATTCAAAAATATGCTGTAATTGCTGACATCTTAGGCAACGAAGAAGTGTGTGTTTACACATTATAATAGTACTAGCTTTAGCCCGCGACTCCGTCCGCGTGGAATTAAAAAAAACAAAAGTGAGTAGCCTATATGTTCTTCCAGACTATGGTCTACATCTGTACCGAATTTCATCGAAATCTGTTTAGACATTTAGGCTACAAACTCTAACAAACATCTATCCATCTAAACTTTCGCATTTATAATATTAGTATGATAGATAATCGGTTCAAAAATATATTTTTTTTCCAGATTTTACCGAACACATCAACAGAAACTATTGAAAATCAAACCGAAGTCTTACATATAATAGACGATGCTAATATATCCGATAATTTTATATACGAAATAGCAGAAGAACAGGAAATAACTATGGAGGAGGTTAAAGAAATCCCGATAACACAAAACCCTGAATGGAGAGTGAATATCCTACCGGAAGAATCAAAACCCAAATATGCATATATCAAACATATAAATAACGGTAAAAAAAAGCGACATTTCACAGCAGATATGAATGAAATCACTTTACAAGGGGATTTCGAAAACTACTATATCCTACCAGATGTTGATCCTTCGGTAGGAGTTGAAATAACTACCACATATCCTGAGAACTTTGTTGTTGAACAATATAAGGATCCGGAGAGACGGAAGAGGGCTAAAGAAGAGAGTGCAAGAAGGAAGAAGAAGAAACTTCAGACGGTAAGGGATCAGGTTAAACAGATTCAGGTTAAAACGGAGATGGCTGATTGGTCAGTTGATAGTTTTGAAGATAATTCTGATGATTACGATGATAAAAAATCAGCTAGGGTCAGACGAAAAAATAAAAAATATCTTGGCTATGATTTTGTTACATAATTGCGATACAACGGTATGAGATTTTTTTGTTTATAATCTGGGAAAAATATTAATACACACAATTTATGTCGATGGCATTTTTTTTTATTTTTTCATATAAAAAAAATACATTTAACAGTTTTTTTTTTAATTTCAATATGCCGAAAAATTTCACTTTTATATGCAAATGTGTTTGTTTCAATCTCAGGAACCTTTGAATGTCATTTCTTTACTATATACTAGTTGTTGCTCGCGACTTTGTTCTTGTGGAATAAAAAAATAATAAAAAATATAGCCATAATGGTGATTTTTTTAAATCAGTCGGTTTTTAAGTTATTTCAATACATATAAAATAATTTGGTGAAATTCGCATTAAATATATTTTAATGAGTGACTAAAAAACTTAAATATTTCATATTCTATTAAAAGAAATTAAAAAAATTACCAAAAACATAATTTTGTTAAAATTTATTTTCATTGTTTAAATTTGATGCTGGCATCAAATTTTTTCTGGAATACTTCATAGAATGCTTAAAAACTCTTTTAACACTAGTATTTTGTCCTAGTTTTTTCTTTGCAAATTAAGTAAAAAAAAATCCTGTATTTAACGTAGAGTTTTGAAATAATTATCTGAAAAAAAATTTTTTTTTAAACATTTGACAACCATTTTATAAAAAAACATCATGCTATATTTCTTATTAATGTGTGAATTGTTTTTTATTTATTTTTCATCCATTCTACCTAAATTACATTAAAAAAATTTATATCAAAAGAAAAAATCCATTTTAAAACAAAAAATCTTATACCGTATTCATAATTTTCCAAAAAAAAACTGATACGAAAGCAATTTTTTTTGTAAAAGTTAGAAATGGAAATGTTTATTCGCATATTTTAATGAAAACTATAAAATCTTGAAAAAAAAAAACGTGTCTATCTTCAATCCTATTTACTTATGGTATTTGCTGATATAGGAATATAACCCACTCGGGTATAAAATGAACCCTTAATTAAATATAAGGTAATTTCCATTATTACCATAAAAAAATGTTTAATAAGTAACTCTAAAAGTACCAAAATACAGTAAAAAATAAAAAAAATTAAATACAAAACGATTATTTAGAAAAAAAAATAAAAAAAATCCCCCTTTTTATAGAAAAAATAGTTTTTTTTTTCTCACAAAATGTACAGAATTAAAAAAAATCAGTTTATAATAAGATCATTTTAGATAAAATAAACCTCTTGTTTAATTAAGGGTTAAAAAAATGCACTTTTTATGTCAAATCTATCCCAAAAGCGTCGAAAAATGATCAATTTTTTTGGGTTAAAATTTGACAAAATTAGATTGTGTTTAAACTAGATGTATTATTTGTTAGTAAAGAACTTTGCAAGATATATCCCAGTTGTGGGAAAGTGGGCAATTTACCCCACGCTTAAAGCACATAGTAATATATTACTGTAGTAACATTTTTTTAAATTATAAAAAAATCTTTTTAAACTATGAATTGTAATCAAATTATTCTGTCACGTAATATTTAAGTTTGGAATAACTATTTTTTTATGTACAGTTAGCTGCATATACGATTATGCAATAAAAAACAAAACCTTCAAGAATTTATAAAAGATTCTGATTTAATATTATAAATGCGAAAGTTTGTTAATAGTATATCCAAAAGTGCTGTTTAAATTTTGATGAAATTTGTCATACATGTAAAATATAATGGAAGAACGTAGACTTTTTTTTATTTCGCGTGAACGGAGTCACGGTCGAAAGCTAGTATATTATACGACTAATACTACCGACTCCGTCTTCGTCTACGTGGAATTATAAAATAAACAAAAGTAAGCGTTTACGTTCCAAATTTTCACAAACATTTTGACAAACATGCATCATTTTTTTTTTTAATTACATTTCACACATTTTTTCGTCGATCTTAATTTTTGTATTTATAATATTAGTAAGGTTTCTGTAGTTGACTGTACATTTAACCGCAGTTTCTTGCAAAGTTTTCTTTAGTATCCGGGTTTCGGAATCATGTATTATATGAAAAGTTAATATTTAGATTTGATCATTTGTGTTGTTGCTCCTCACATTGTTCGGTTTACAATTATATTAAGATATTATAAATAAAAACCATTTTAAGTTATTTTTGTTTTATTTGAATACCTTACCCAAATTTTAAATTCAAATAAGTGTATAAATACTGTTTAACTTGTTACCGACAGCGCGGCAGCCAAAAATACAAAACACTTATTATTAACCTAACATATCTTTATTGAAAACTTATTTACACAAAAAAATATACAAAACTTAAAACTCTCTTGATTCCATCTTGACTTCTTCTTTTATATATCTTCTTTTAAGACAACGATAAATGCCTTGGTGGCCAGTATGCAACCTCTTTGGCTGTATATATACTGCTTGTCAGGTTGTATTTTGCATTCAACAAATACATTTAGATAACACCAAAAAAGGAAAAATACAGACAAATTGGGACCTCTTTTGGGGGGTCGGTCAAAAATATAAAGATTGTGAACAGAATTTTCACTAGTACTTTCTTTGATAGGTACTATATCAGTGACACTGACATGTAATAAAACATTTTACAAAATTAAAATAAGCGCCATCTTTTATAAAATAAACTAAACAGTGTCTAAATGTAATTTAATTAGACTTATTGGCAACTTTAAGGTTTTTTCCTTAGTGAGATTGTGTTAAAATTGTCTCGTCAACTGTCTCCTCTATTTGTATTGAAAATGCTTGAAATATTGCCGTATTTACAGGCGGGTAACATTTTATACGCATATTCTGTACTTCGGTCAAATATATTAAAAAATAGGAGATTGTATTGAAACGACAGTTTTTACTTCGTTCTGATTTAGATTTAAATGAATAAAGGTTTGTGCCGTTTTGTGGAAATGACAAGTCAAATATGATTTCGAAAACTTTTTACTATAACTATAAGCGCCGAAATGGCGGAAATAAAACGGGCACAAAATACCTTTGTTTATAACCTGTCTAGATTAGTGGCTTGTGTATTTGCAATAATTTTAACTCGGCTATAATATTTGCAGAGAATAATCCGTTGAAAATATTTCAGTGCCAAAAATTACTATTAAAATGAGGAAAATAAAACGAAATTGTACGAATTACTTTTATTGATATTAAAAAAAAAATCATTTTGTAGAATAACACAAATTCAATGGCCCCAACGCTATCATCTTTTATTATTGCCATTTTCAATTCCTATTTTAAAAGCTGTTCCTCGCCGTACTAGGGCTGCATATTTTCATACTAGGGCTGCTCTTTATCATAACAAGCCTGGCCCTTGTCATAATAGGGCTGGCCCTTGTCATAATACGGCTGGCCCTTGTCATAATACGGCTGGCCCTTGTCATAATAGGGCTGGCCCTTGTCATAATAGTGTTGGCTCTTGTCATAATAGGACTGTCCTTGTCATAATAAGACTGTCCTTGTCATAATAGGGCTGATCCGAGTCGTCATATTATGGTTGTCCTTTGTCATAATAAGCCTGGCCCTTATCATACTATGGTTGTCCTTTGTCATAATAGGTCTGGCCCTTGTTCTGTGGGGCGTCTCGGTGGCAGGCGAAAGTGATCCCGTGGCGCCCACACAATGGCCTGGAGGAAACAGAGTGGTTAAGTGGGTATGCCCCATTATGGGGAGAGTTCCACACAACTCTCGTGCCTGCCCCGAGGAACGGAGTATGCGTAAAGCATTCCTCTCTGTCCAAAAAAAAGGGTTGCCCTTGTCGTACTAGGGCTGGCCCTTGTCGTACTAGGGCTGCTTCTTTTCATAATAGGGCTGGCCCTTGTCGTACTAACACTGCTTCTTTTCATAATAGGGCTGACCCTTGGCGTACTAGGGCCGGCCTTTTTTATGCTAGGGCTGTCTCTTGTAGTGCTCCGCTCTGTTGCGATGTGTGCGATGCGAGCGTCTTGGCCACGGCTTCTTAAGATGCACGTGTTCGTAATGCAAACGTTTCTCTGCATTCGATTTGAATGTTTTCTCGCAAACATCGCATTTGAATGGTTTTATACCGCTGTGGACCTAGTCGGGGCAAAAAGTATATCTTACTTAATATTATAATTGGGAAAGTTTTGATGGATAATGTTTGTTTGTGTCCTAAATTGCTCAACAGATCGCAATGAAATTTGGCATAGTTATAGAAAATAGTCTAAAATAAAACATATGCTACTTTTGTTCCCGGAAATAATTATAATTCCAGTGAAATACATTGATTTAGTTGAAATTTAGCATATAACAAATAATATATAAACAAATATATATGGTATTGCGGATGTCCATGGGCGTCGATGAACATATCGGTGTTCCCGCTGCTCGTTTGCCCCCTGTCTTATAAAAAAAAGTCTGAAGTACATATAGGGTAAGATTCAACATTAAAATATGTCAGATTCTCGAGAGATATGTAGGGTTTTTGTTTTACATAGTTGTTTTTTTTTAATACCACGTAGGAAGTCGCGGGCAACAGTATATAAATGGGAAAGTTTAGATGGATGTTTGCTGATAACTCCAGAATGGGTAAATGGGTTTAGGTGAAGTTTGTCATAGATACAGATATTTTGTAAGCAGAGGCTATAAATGTGGTATTTGATACTCACAATCATATGTCGTTTGAGATTTGCTGGGAAAAGGAAACCTTTGCCACAGATCTCACAATCGTAGACAGGACGCTGTTCGCTGTGGACTATCTGATGGTTTACTAAGTTGCAATGCATTGAGAAACTTTTATCGCAAAGTGAACATTTAAATCGCTTCTCTCCTGTGTGTACCCACATGTGGTCTACTAATAAGGCTTTAGTCTGAAAAATTCAGTTCTATTTTCAATAATAATATAAATTAACACAATTTTGTAGATAAATGAAAAATATTTTTTGTGGTAATAAACGTGTACTTTTGTAGTTTTTTTTAATTAGCAAATGATAAAATATGTCGACTTAGGACCTAGATACTATTTAATTTAAAAAAATAAAAAAAAATCGACATTACAGATGAAAATAGTGTCTAAAAAAAAGAACATAGAAATAAAAAATAAAACAAGTTAGGGCGAGTTAGATTCGAACTCTGTTACCACATTTTTTTTAGAATTTCGATTCTCACGTCCACTGTATGTATTTCATGTCAATATAACATCCCCTATGACACTCTGCAGAAGAAGACGAGACCAATGACACCTCATACATCTAAATCTGTCCAGTAGTTTACTCTATACGCTGTTACAATGGAATTTACAAACTTACATATGGACGAAAAATAATACCTTTGCCA